CATATAGGATAGAGGAAAAGAGGAGATTTGGTTTAAAATTCAAATAGGAGATAATTAACAAGCTTTATCTTAGAGATAGAGATTGGATTCCTTTTAGAAGTTTGACTTCTACTCTATAAATACTATTTTTGAGACAATTTTCGGAATGGTTTTTTGCCCTAATTTTAGAGGTAGCCGAAATTTCTCTATAAAATTTTGAAAACAATTTTTCAGCCCTAAGAGTTAAGGCTGGCCGAAATTCTCAAGAGAGAAAGGAAGGAAAAAAATTTTCTCCAAAAATTCCACATCGTGCATGTGATGGTGTTTGTGGAAATTCGAGTGTTTATTGTAACCCGTTTTGTCTCATGTGTGCCCACACACACGTCTTCGTGGATTCTAGGAATTGATGTGGAAGACATTGGTTTTCTAAACACAAAGATTGGAGCAAGGACTGTTCGTGGTCAAAGAACTCAAGTTATCATCCGAGTCGGCTTCCAGGTATTTTTCCTGATTGAGTTCTTGATATATATAAGTTAATGAGATTAATTTATTCGTGCATAAATTAATATAATCTATAGAGTATCTCAAAAGTTTTATGAAAATTTTTGTTATACACGATCCGCCTCTTCCCCGCACCACCGCGCTTCCGCAGCCGGATTCGATTCGGCAACCAACAATATTTCCTTTGAGAAAAAAGATGTGAGGTTCCGGCTGTCTGTTGAAACTGAATGTCTTATTTTATTTACTTATTCATTTATTTGTTTCCTTGCTTACTTATTATTCATTTATTTATAACGTTCATTTCAAATTATATCATACTGGGCCTTTCGCTCACGTTTTATATTTCAAATGTATTAAACCCCTCTCAGGAGATTCTAGGAGCAGTGCACAGTAGCTGGACAATTGCTACAGAGCAACTGAGTTGTGCTACTGTTGGAAGCAAGTGAGGATTGAGTTCATCCTCTTGGACAAATGTAAGGAATTTGAGAAATTCTGTAAACATATGTAATATTTTGGATTAACTAGACTGTAGTTGATGTCTGTTGTAATGATTATTTATATGACCATGTATGTACGATCCTGTATGTCCTGTGAGGTGGAGCCCTGTGTGTCAGAGGCTCCGGAATACTGTAATTTATTTATATTTTAATGCAGTTGAGTAGGGTTCATCTGGGAATTTGCTTTATTAACCCCTAATCGAGCTCCACGTCACCCACCCCGTTTGGGGGGCGTGACATAACATAAACGCTAACAACATATATATTACATTCAGTGGCGGAGCCATGATTTTGTTTCAGAAGGACATAAAATAAAAATATTGAAAATGTTAAAAACGGTAACAAACTCAACTCCTAATACTATTAACTAGTTTTTCTTTCTTTTCTTTTTTTTTCCTTTAACGTGCTACTAACTAATTGGAATAATATCATGCATGTGCATGTTGATCAATTTATTAAACTTTATGATACGTGAATTTAAAATTTTAAAGAGTTTAGTTTTTTTTAGTAATAAAGATTTTATTACTTCAACAAGGAAAAATTAGAGAAACTGTGTTTCATAGCAATTGAGAGAGTTATTTGAAAAAAAAAATTCTAAATTAGGGACACATTTTAGCAATATTATTTTAATGAGTCATTTTAAAATTTTTTATGAGGCTCTCTTTTAATATAATAAAGATTGTATGAAAAAAATATTTAAGAAGGGACCAATTTGGAAGAAAAAATATTTTCGTAAGAGTAAATTAGAAAAAGTTATTCAATTTGGTATATTCAGAAGTATAAGATTTAATAGGAAAAGTCCAAAGAAACAATAATCAGAAAGCCACAAAAAAAGTTGAGATTAGATTTTTTAGAGGTATATTTGAAATTTTTATTAACAGGGGGCATGTTTAAAATCTCTTTGAAAAACCATAGGCCAAAAATGAAAAACTAAAAATCCAGGGGGCGTATGCCCCCGGGCCTCACCTCTGTCCGCCACTGATTACATTTATAAGGGTAAATATCCAAAACACCAATTATATGTTGCCCTAATATCATTTTTGCCCATTTATATGTTACATTTATCATTTTTGCCCTAAGATTACTCTTCCCAATCTATTTAAGTGTTACTTTAAATAAAAAGTTAACTAAATAATTTTTTAAAATGTTTAATTAAATACTTCAATCAAACAAATACTTTAATTATTTTAGTAGTTTAATTTTTAAAATTGATTTTATTTAATATTTTGATTTAATAATGTTTCAATTGTATTTTAGAGGCTTTCTGAGTTTAATTTTATAAACACACAGAAGTTCTTGAACATTTGCCTAATAAGATAAGCAAAAATGATATTTAAAAAAACATAGCAAGTTTTGAGTATTTTTCATATATATAAATATAAATATATATATATATATATATTTATATAGATGAGTTTTCAAATGGTTATGTTTCCATTAGTAGTTATCATTAAATATAGAAATTTAATGGCGTGACGTGATAAGAATTTAATGTCATTAATTGCATTAAATTTTTTTTTATCAATTATTTAATTTATTACGACCGTTGAATTAATATTTTACGGTTAAAACAATAATATATATTGATAGATAAATATTGAAATAACTATTAATACAAATTCTCTCCAGCCCCTTGGTAGCTTCCCTGCTGCTCAAGACGCTGTGAGAGGTTACACTCGCCGGTGTGTGTGAGTTTTTTCTTTTTCTTTTTCTTTTATCTCAGTGGTGATTTCGTTAAGTCTCCTTCTATGGAGGATATTGCAAACCGCTGGAAAAGTTTTTCTATTGAGGAGGAAGAAGAGGATGTTGTTGGAGTTGATGAGTCAGTGTTGGAGGAAGGACGAAAAGCCATGAAATGTGGCCTGTTGGGTAAGTTGTTATCATCTAAACCATATAACAAACGATTCTTTCAATCAACGATGATTGATATTTGGCGGATGCCTGGTGTAGAGTCACGGGAAGTGGCGAAGGATGTATTCTTCTTCTCTTTTGCCAGTGTTCGTGATCGAGATAGGGTTCTGGATATGGAACCTTGGAGTTCTGATCGAGCGCTTGTTGTTCTGAAGCCATTAGAGAACGGTGATATGGCGGATAGCGATGATTTTTGTTATTCAAAGTTTTGGGTCCAGTTACATAATCTTCCGTTAGAAGGAAGGTTATCACGAATTGGAGAGATGGTTGGTGATATTATTGGTAGTACGGTGTCGGTTCAACAAGATGATAAAGGACGATGCTGGGGTCAGTATGTGCGTGTAAGGGTGGTCCTTGATATCACTAAACCGATTCGTCGCCAAGTCAAAATCATATTGGGTGATGGTGAATATCTAGTTTGGACGGATCTACGGTATGAAAAGTTGCCGGATTTCTGCTATGGCTGTGGGAAGTTTGGCCATGGAACCCGTGAATGTCCGGCTGAAGGGGTGGCTGTTGTGACAGATCTATCGATCCTTCCTTATGGCAGTTGGTTGAGAGCACCTAGAATGGGTGGTGGAAGTCACCGCCGGGTAGAACGGAGGCCGGCTCGCACCCACGGCGATAATCTGTCTCGTCCGCTTCGAGGAATGGAGATTCCGCAAATCTCGCCCTTAGTTTCAGGATCACAACAACGTGATTTGGTGGATGTGATTGCAGTTACTGAAAATCTGGCGAAGTCAATGTCACATTGTGGGAATGTTCCAAAATCAGTTTCTGGGACGGATGTGGCGCAGAATACGGTTAGGGCGTTATCTCCGGAAACAAACAATTATTTGGTAAGGCCAAAGGCTATTATGAATGACGTGGCAAGTAAGGGATTGAAATGCAAAAGGGATGTTTGTGAAGGGTCTGATAGTTCTTTGTACGTGCATGGCTCTAATGCAATTTGCATGGGAATAGTTGCTAACGTGGAAAATGGAGAAGGAATGCTGCATGAGGCTTTGGGTAATGATGAGGGAGCTTTGCTGGACAAGGATAGCCCACATGGTGGATTGTTCTCTTTCTCGGCAGGTGATGGAGAGGAGAAGCATAAGAACGGTGGGCGAGGTGTGAAGGCTAAACGAGGTCGGCGACCTAGTGTTTCTTCAGGTTCTGAGAGAAGGGTGGTGGAGAAGAGGAAGGAGGTGTCAGCAGGAAGTGATTCGGTGGTGGGGGAATAGGAAGCGGCTGGTGCTTGGTGAGGAAACGAGCCTTGCGATATCGGTGGAGGTTGCGGCGCAACCCCGCCGGACGCCATGAGTCTTATATCTTGGAATGTGCGGGGCTTGGGGAACCCCCGTGCATTTGATAAACTTCGGATGCTTATCCGTGATACTTCCCCTAGTCTTGCTTTCCTTATGGAAACAAGGTTACGTTCTAAAGCTGCAGAGTCAGTAAAGAGAAGGTGTGGTTTCCATGGTGGTTTTTATGTTGACTGTAGTGGTAGGAGTGGAGGTCTTATGCTCATGTGGAAGGAAGAGGTCGAAGTTCATATACAGAGCTACTCTCAGTCCCACATTGACTGTCATGTTCGCTTCCCCCATGGTGTGTGGTGGAGATTTACCGGTTTTTATGGCAATCCATCTAGGAGTGATCGGCATCACTCTTGGACGTTACTGTTACGATTAAAGTCTCTCTCTAACCTCCCTTGGGTTGTAGCTGGTGATTTCAATGAAATCTTATTTCTTTCAAAGAAGGAGGGTGGAAACAATAGATATTATCCCAGTATGAATCAGTTCCGGGATACAGTGGAGAGCTGTGATCTTGTAGACTTGGGTTTTGTAGGTCCTAAATTTACTTGGGATAATGGGCAGGAAGGGGGTGCTCATATTCGTGAAAGACTTGATCGGGCTCTGGGGTGTGATGAATGGATTAATCTATTCCCATACTATGGTGTTCGCAATATGGATTTCTACGACAGTGATCATAGAGCATTGTGGCTAGAGTTGGTTCGGGATAGAAATAGGGCCGGGAGGGGGCCCAAGAAGAGGAAGTGGTTCCGGTTTGAACCTTTCTGGATGACTGATGAGGATTTTAAGGATACCTTGAGGACCTCATGGGGCACTACAGGATCGGTGGGGGACTGTGATGGTTTTGGGAGGAAGCTTCAGAGTTGCGGTCGAGACTTAAGTGGGTGGAGCCGCGTAAAATTCGGACGCATCACGCGGCGGGTCCGTAATTTACATGAGGAAATTGAGAGGATACGAAATGCATCTGCTTTGGGCTATAATCGAAGACGGCTTTGGGAATGGTAGAGCAAGATCGATTGTTAGCGCTGGAAGAATACTACTGGCGTCAACGCTCTCGGGTTGAATGGTTAAGGGGGGGGGGGGGGTGATAAGAATACTAAATTCTTTCACTCAAAAGCTTCTCAAAGGAAGAAGAAAAATGAAATCAAAGGTCTTGAGAAGAGTGATGGGAGATGGGTGACGAGTGACCATGAGGTTGTTGCGGAGATAAAAAAGTATTTTACTGAGATATTCACGTTATCCATGCCGAGTTTTTTGGATATAGAGTCCGTAACACAAGCAGTGACCTCTTGTTTATCTCCTGAAATGTGTTCTATGTTGGAGGAGCCTTTCATGAGGAAGGAGATCCATCAAGCTCTCTTTGCTATGGGACCTACCAAAGCCCCGGGGCCGGATGGATTCCATGCGACATTTTATCAAAAGAATTGGGATATTTTAGGAGATGACTTGACTAATATGTGCTTGTGGGTTCTCAATGATAATGCCCCTTTCCAAAACATGAATGCGACTAATGTTGTTCTTATCCCGAAGATTAAGGAAGCGAGGAGGGTGTCAGATTATCGACCGATAAGCCTTTGTAATGTCTCTTACAAGGTTATATCCAAGGCGTTGGCTAATCGATTGAAACGTGTTCTCCCTTTGATTATCTCTCAAGAACAAAGTGCTTTCGTCCCGGGTCGGCTAATTACTGACAATGTGCTTGTGGCTTTTGAGGTCCTCCATTCCATCCGACGTAAGGTTAGCGGCAATGTGGGCTTCATGGGTTTGAAACTAGATATGAGCAAGGCCTATGATAGAATTGAGTGGCCTTTCCTTGAAGGGATGATGGAGAAAGTTGGATTTGGGCAACGATTTCGAGGGTTAATCATGAAATGTGTTTCCTCAGCTAGTCTTTCCTTTATGATGGGCAATGAACCTCGTTGTTCGATTCGGCCAAGTCGGGGGCTTCGCCAAGGTTGCCCTATTTCACCTTACTTATTTCTTCTATGTGCGGAGGGACTTACTGCATTACTCAAGCAAGCGGAGGTTTCTAGAAGGTTAGCAGGGATTGCAGTTGCTCGCGGAGCACCAAAGGTAAGCCATCTCCTCTTCGCTGATGACTCTATTATTTTTGGGAAAGCTAGGAAAGATGATGCAAGGACAATTATGGAGATCCTTGAGATGTATGCGAAGGCGTCGGGGCAAGTGATCAATTTTGCTAAGTCAAAAATTACTTTCAGTCCAAACACTAGGGAAGAATCGAAAGATGAGGTTAAGGGGTGTTTGCAGCTTGATGAGAATAGTCGCTCGTATGATAAGTACCTTGGGTTGCCCTCTTTTGTCGGTAGGAACAAACGGGCTATTTTTAATGCAGTCAAAGATAGTGTTTTTAAGAAGCTCAAGCTTTGGAGAGGAAGGCTATTCTCTATGGCAGGAAGGGAAATCTTGATTAAAGCAGTGGCCCAAGCTACTACCACGTATACCTTGGGTGTATTTCGGATCCCTCAAACTCTTTGTCAGGAGATTCAAGCTATGATTTCACGGTTCTGGTGGGGCGGCAACGGCACTGAGAAGAAGATTCATTGGGCAAAGTGGGAGCTATTATGTCGTCCTAAGAGAGATGGGGGTATGGGCTTTCGTGATGTGGGAGCGTTTAATCAAGCACTTCTGGCGAAGCAGTGTTGGCGAATCCTTTCAAAACCTTCCTCCTTGGTGGCCATGATTTTTAAGGCTAAGTATTTTCCAAAGGGTGATTTTCTTGATGCTTATATTGGACACAACCCCTCATATACTTGGCGTAGTATATTATGGGGACGAGAACTGTTGAAGAGTGGCATCCGTAGACGTGTTGGTTCTGGAAAATCCATTCGATGTTTTAGGGACCCTTGGATCCCTAGACCTCATTCATTCCGTCCAATTACGGCAGTGACTGAAGAAACTGAAGATTGGTTGGTGGAAGATCTTATTATTAATAGGCAATGGAACCGGGAGCTAATTCGTCATATTTTTCTCCCTATTGATCAAGAAATTATTCTCAACATGCCTTTGAGTTGTGGCTCTAGTGAAGATCTCTGGGTGTGGCATTATGATTCTAAGGGGCTCTATTCTGTTCGTGCCGGCTACAAGCTAGCCATGGGTCTAAGAAATTCGCCTAGTAGTTTTGGAGGGAGAGGGGATAGTGTGTGGCGGAGGAAACTGTGGGATCTTCATATCCCGAATAAAATCAAGAATTTCATGTGGAGGGCAGCTTCCGGTTTTTTACCAACCTTTGCCAATTTAGCAAGGAGGGGGATTAATTGTGCAACGAGATGTCAGTGCTGTGGTGAGGAGGAGGAGTCTACTTGGCATGCTCTATGGATGTGTCCTGCTGTTATTCAGGTGTGGGAAGTGAGTGCCCTTTGGCACAAGTTAGAGCCTCTCAACACTGGAGGTTTTGAAGCTCTATGCGTTATGTTTAGCAAAGAAGCAATTGGAGAGGATCTTGAAATTTTCTGTGTACTGGCGTGGGCGATTTGGGCGGCTCGGAATCAATTTGTACATCACCGAGTATGTCGGGAGCCGATGGAGATCCTAGGTACAACTGGGCGGACAATTGCTGATTTTCAGAGTTGTTGGGATCCGGCGGCCAAACATCGGACTACGGTGCCTGTTAGTGAAGTACGCTGGAAACCTCCGGCAGCTAGACTTCTGAAGCTTAATACTGATGCGGCAGTTCGAGAGGGTATGAGTTCCATTGGGATAGGCGCTGTCATCAGGGATGGGGAAGGAATAGTATGTGCTTGTCTGGCGAAGCGGATTGCGGGTTCTTTCTCACCTTTTTTAGCTGAATGCATGGCCCTTCGGGAAGGCCTAATTTTCGCACAAGAGCAGGGGTTATCCATCAGCGTGGCCGAAGTTGATGCTGTCCGTGTAGTTCAAGCGGTCAAGGAAAGCTTAACGATGGGCGAAGAAGGTGTTATTATAGAGGACATTGTTCGGTTATTATCTCTATGGGGAGGTGGGAGTGCTCTCATATAAATAGGAGTGGTAATAATGTTGCTCATGTTTTAGCTTCCTTTGGTTTTAATTGTTCACATGATTTTGTTGGGGTTTATATGATCCCTTACTTTGTATCCTCGGTTGTACTTGCCGATTTGACTGTTTAATTCTAAAGTGGTTTTCGTGTTCAAAAAAATAACTATTAATACTACACTTTATCTATACATACAGGACAACTAAAATTTACTCTTTTTTAGGGTAATTAACATTAATTTTACTCAAAAATGATTTCTATCAAAATGATTGTCAATATCAAGCACCACAATAACCAATCAATTTCCTCTCCACTTTTCTTCCACCAAAAATATTCTCTAAATCCTTTTTGTATTGTCAACATCACCTTCACACCCGACTTTTGTTCATATCCCTCAATTTCACCATTTCTTAAAATAATAATAATATTTTGACCAAAAAAATAATAATAATTCCCGAAACAAACTTCAAAATACAATGCATTGCCATTTTGACCAAAAAAACACAACAAAAACACATAATAACCATTCTTGCCCAAAGAGTAAGGTCCACGCATACTGTCGGCAAACTTTGCCACTTTCGGACGCATGACAACCAAAACTAAAAAGAAAAAAAGATCAAGACAAAATAAAAATAAAAATAAAAACCACAGCTGCGATCACTGAAAAACAAAAGGTCAGCCAACAACGTACTAATAAATCCAAATTCTGGGTTAACCCCACAAAACCCATTCTCTTGTTATTTCTTTTTTTTTTTTTTTTTCTTTTTCTTCTTTTGTTGTTTAGCTCCAAAAATCTCAAGAGCTTTTCTTTGCTTCTAAGGTACTACAGAGAACTCAAAAATGGCGTTCTTTCTGGGCCTGTTTCTGGGAATCACGGTGGGTCTGGCGGCGATCGTGGGCTTCGTGAAGTGCGAGAATCACCGCTCCAAACGCCGCTCCGAATTAGCGGCCACCATTGCCGCTTTTGCTCGGATGACCGTGGAAGATTCCAGAAAGATCTTGCCTTCTGAGTATTATCCTTCTTGGGTCTCCTTCACTCAGTGGCAGAAGTTGAGTCTCTCTCTCTCTCTCTCTCTCACTTTCGCTTCAATCTCTTTCTCTTAAAAGATTTCGTGTAGAATTAATATATATATATATATATATATTTTTTTTTTTTTTTCTTCAGTTGAAATGGCTGAATCAGCATCTTTCGAAGATCTGGCCCTATGTTAATGAGGTAAACTCTTTCTGGATATTTTTTGCCTTTTCTTTTTGGTGGGGTTTATATATAGATATATATATATATATATACGAATTTTTTTTATTTAAATTTGGTGGTTATTACTAAATTTGTGGGTGTATAGGCAGCGTCTGAGCTGATAAAGACTAATGTTGGGCCGGTTCTTGAGCAATATAGACCTATTATACTGGCATCTCTCAAGTTTTCAAAGTTTACTCTTGGCACTGTGGCTCCACAATTTACAGGTTTGTTTAATTTTGCTTTTAACAAATTGGATTTCTTTTACCTTCCACTATTATATTACATTCGCTTAATGGACACTTTTTCCAAGGATATTATGTAGCTTTTTTAAAGGTTTCTCGTTTATGTTTTTGCTCCTTTTTTTTTTTGTGTGTGTGAATTTTGAAGTACAAATAGTTACTGTATAAAAAGGGTGAATCTTGAAAGTTGAATCTGTTTTTGGTTTTTTTAATGTAAGTGTTAATGTCACTGAATTGACATTGAAGGAATAACTCTAAATGTCCTCTTTAACAGGTTTTTGTTCTTATCAATATTGGGATTCTTATGTGAATCATTTTCTTCTACAAGTTTTTGTTCTCATCAATATTGGGATTCTTATGTGAATCATTTTCTTCTTTAGGAGTCACAATTGTTGAAGATGAAGGAGATTGTGTTATCATGGACTTGGAAATGAAGTGGGACGGAAACCCGAGCATTATTCTAGATATTAAAACTTTACTTGGTGTTGGCCTACCTGTTCAGGTATCTATAAGTCATTGCATACTTGTCTCTCTTTAGTAAGCTGGACTGGTTATTAATTTATTACTGCCACGTATTTCTTATTATCAATGGCTAAGATTCAGCCAGTGCTTGTTCTCCAATGTTGTTTCTTAAAAAATTGTGTTCACGGTGAAGTCTTGCTTCACAAGTCCAACCGAAGAGTATAAAGATCCTCAAGAGTTCAACTTGTATAGACTCTTTTCTCGTGTCAAAGTTTGCATTGGCAATGCACTTTTAGCCTTATGTTTTAGTATGAGAACCTGGAAAGTGAAAATTGGAATTTATGTGACAATTTCTCTATGGTAGTATGAAACTGCTAGACATATTTGTACATCTTTTAACATCATTTATGTCAATAACTTTCATTGAGCTGGTTCAATATTTGAATTTTCAAGAAAAGAATATTTCCTCAATTTTTGTCGTTATTATGCTAATTGGATGGCTAGCGAGGCAATGACCTCAATTAATCCAAGTACATTTGCAAGTGATTTCGTTTTCGTCTTGGTTTTACAGAATGGTTTATTTCGTTTCCATTCAGGTTAAAAACATTGGATTCACTGGAGTTTTCAGGTTAATATTCAAGCCTCTGGTTGATGAGTTACCGTGCTTTGGAGCTGTTTGCTATTCTTTGAGAGAAAAGGTACGTCGTTTAAGATTTTGGTAGTGAAGTTGCAGACAATTTACACACTGAGAAAGAAAGTTTGATTCAGATAAACCTGTAGATTAAGAGTACGTACGCCTATAAACAGGTAGTTTATTCCAATCATTTTTGCATTGGCTGGTGTAATAAAGCTTGAATGGTTTAAATCTTTGTGCCTTTAGCAATCCTGTCAATTGGCAACTTGACTGATAAGAGTGTAGACCATTTTGCCAAGTGTTGCTGGGTTGGGGGAGTGTTAACCAGTTTCTAGATAATAAAGATTCTAAAGCCTCACTTTTTTGGTCAGATATGAAGCGAAGTACGGATTTTGTGTTGGTAAAAGAAATTATGTGCAGTAATAATGTCCGTTCCACGTGTAATCTCTCTGGCTCTTTAACACAAATGCATATGCACAAAATATGCCTATATGTGCATAGTGTGTCCATCTTTTTTCTATACTCAATAATTACTTGTCTCTTTGCTGACATTTATTTTTTATCTGCAGAAAGATTTAGATTTTACGCTTAAAGTTGTGGGTGGTGACATTTCATCAATTCCTGGGCTTTATGATGCAATTGAGGTTTGGTGACAACCCAAAGTTCACTAATTTAATACAGCGCTTATTATTGTTTTGGCTGTTGTTGTCTTTATTTTTTAAACCAAAATTTAGATCTTAGTGTCCAAGTTTTCGTTGTGTTATCTCATAAAATATCTGCTGGAGGAAGTTTAAGATTGCTTTTTTTATACATTCATGCAAATTCAATGCTGAAATCTACAAATTCATGCATATGCTTCAACATTCTCAGATTTTTGTTTCCCCTTTCAAGTGTAAGCAACTTTAAATTCTTTAATCTTATGGTACATGTGACATTGTCTAAACCTAGAAAAGATACAAGCAGATTTCTTTGATTGCGATTTATATCTCAGGCTTAAAACTTAGTTTAGTGGGAAAATTTGCAATATCTTGATGGTTTAGAGCAAAGCATCTGCAGAACATTAAAGTCAAGCTTACTTGTGCATTAAATGACAAGTCGGGAAAGATTTCATCTCTAGACTTCCTTTGTTCTGGTATCAAAGTTCACATACAGATGAAATATGGTTCACATGAGGTGATTATAAGAAGCATATGCCAAAAAAAAGTGTCAAGTTTAGTATAATCTGTAGTTTGGTTGACTATTGGAGGAATTTCAGTGTAATCTATAATTTGATTATCTGAAAATGATTTTTCAGTTTGTTGAGTTTGTTCATATTACCGTACTTGGGTACTTAATGTTTTTTCTTGTAGCCAAATTGCCTTTGCCAGGAAAAAAATAAATAAATAAATACATCAGTTCTAGTCTTTCAAAGGTATTTGGATTAATCAGAATTATTTTGTACCTTTGGTCTAATTAAGAGGTCAACATATTCTCACAGGGCACAATACGAGATGCTATCGAAGATTCATTGACATGGCCTGTTCGAAAAATTGTTACCATTTTGCCTGGGGATTACAGGTAAAGCTGAAACAGGATGACATTTTTTAGTTTTTTATTTTATTAGTTTGTGGTCTGGTAGATTTTAATGTGCTGCAGAGAAGTGTACAGATACTTGTTAACGACATGTGTACAGATACTTCTTAACGACACACACACACACACACACACACACACACACACACACACACACACAAAGATGTGTAGAGAAGAGAGAAGATTTTCATTCTCGTCTGTCTTTACAATGATGTTTTTTTTTTTTTTTTTTTTTGGTTCGTAATTTTGGGTATTTCTTATTCACGTATTTATTTCTTTGTGTTTAGTGATCTGGAATTGAAGCCAGTTGGGACATTGGAGGTGAAGCTTGTGCAGGCAAAGGAGTTGACAAATAAAGACCTAGTTGGGAAATCAGATCCCTATGCCGTACTTTACATCCGGCCTCTACGTGACAGAATGAAAACCAGCAAAACTATTGTAGGGTTCACTCTGCGCTTCTGTTATATCTTCGTTCACCCCTTTAAACTCATTTAACAGATTCTTTTATTCTTTGTCCAGAACAACGATTTGAATCCAATCTGGAACGAACATTTTGAATTTATTGTTGAAGATGCTTCCACTCAGCACTTGGCGGTGAAAATTTATGACAGTGAGGGGGTTCAGTCATCTGAGCTCCTTGGATGCGCTCATGTAAGGCTAAGCGACCTTGAGCCTGGTAAAGTAAAGGATGTATGGTTGAAACTGGTTAAAGATTTGGATGTTCAGAGAGATACAAAATACAGAGGGCAGGTAATGAGAATGATTCTGACCGTATTCTTTCATTTTTTTTTTTCATTTTTTTTACTGTAATGAAACATGTTATTGGAGTTTTCGTCATTTTGAAATTCTTAAGCAGTAACGAAAATTGACAAAAGCTGTCTTTCTTGAGACGCATAAATTAATGTGTGTGATTGAATGCATATATTCTTCGTCATCTTGCAATCAATGTATTTAATTATAATTTGCTGACTGTTTTATCCAGGAAGGGGGAGTATTATATCCGATTTAGAAGTTAAGCGACCAAATTGATATGTAGATAAACTAGAGCTCTAGTTAATGTTACTCACTGCAATCTATCCTGTTTATCAACATATGTACACAGAGAGAGAGACACAAGTGGTTTGAAATGGATATTTATAGGTTTGTTTCATTTGTTTTAATCTTTCTTCTTATTACCTTAGGTGCATTTGGAGCTCTTGTACTGTCCATTTGGCATGGAGAATGGCTTTACCAACCCCTTTAGTTCCAACTTCTCGATGACCTCTTTGGAGAAGGTCCTCAAAAGAGGGGCGAATGGAACAGAAGTTACAGAAAATGAAAAGGAAATCGCTCAGAAGAAAAGGGAGGTTATTGTCAGAGGTGTACTCTCTGTCACCGTGATATCTGCTGAAGACTTGCCTCCTGCTGATCTGGTGGGGAAGGCTGATCCTTATGTGTCACTCACATTGAAGAAAGCTGGAACGAAAAACAAAACTAGGGTAAGCTTCAGATACTAAAAGAAATCTTCCTTGTGTTTTTATTAACTTCTGCTCTAAACATGGTTGAGGAAAAACTAAAAATAGTGAAATGATCAAAGGATGCCTATTACTGATGATTTCATGGAAGCATTTCCACCATTCTTCTGCATCCTGCATTATTTCTTAATTGTTTCTTGATCTCTTATGTTCCCACTCATCCATTCTTAAATCCATGCATATAGATAGTTATGATCTCTAGTTAGATGGTTTTCTTGATTGTTAAAGGTTATTTCTTTCTTTCTCAGGTTGTTAATGACAGCTTGAATCCTGTTTGGAGCCAAACGTTCGACTTTGTTGTCGAGGACGGATTACACGACATGCTAATTGTTGAAGTCTATGATCACGACACTTTTGGGAAGGTAAAAAGTCGCGATCGATTGATCTGTTTGTTACTAAAATTTCGCCTAGTTCGATTAGATTACATGACATTCTAATATGTGATTATCTATAAATTCATAAATTTTGTAGGATTATATGGGAAGATGCATCTTAACACTCACAAGGGTGCTTCTGGAAGGGGAGTACAAAGACTCCTTCCAGCTAGATGAAGCGAAATCCGGAAGACTGAATTTGCATCTCAAGTGGATGCCACAACCAATTTTGCGCGACTCTTGACTGATGACGATCTATCTTATACAGCTATAGCTGACGAGGAACGCTCGATATTTTGGAGTATATATTATCCGAGTGTCTATGGATAATGATAAAAAGGACATAAAATGGTCTACTTGGTGCTTAATAATCCTGTCATCTTGTGTTTGTGAGGGTAAGCGCTTGATTGGTGTACATAATTGTTTCATAACACCAGTTATAATAGAGTAGTGAAGTTTCATGGAAAATACCAGCCAGATTTATGGTTGGAGATGCGCGTAGTTCACTTTTTTTTTAACCAACTTTATCACTTCATTGACGTTACATTTACAGCGGGTTTTATTCAGCTTCCATACATTTTGTTTTTCTTTTTGTGTAGAAAGTGGTTTCTGAGAACTACAAAAAATTTTCTACCAGAATTAAGATAGAACTTTATTATTAATATTAATATTAATATTATTATTATTTTGCTCTATTTTATTCTATGTCCTCCCCTCCATGTACTTTTAAAATTTTGGCATTTTGGGGGCCTTGATTGTTGTCCATTAATTGACGTCCTTTATTGATCGTACTGCATTATCAAGGATTATAAAGTTTGGGGTCTTAAATGTCAAATTAAAATTTTAGTGCGCAGCATATAGATGACGATAAATTTATCCATGGTTTTATGTCAGCTCCACTTTGTCTTTATTTTATTGTTTCACTGAACTAACAACTTAAAATTTATACGTGCAAGCTAACAAATTCCATCTCACTAAACTTTTTCTTTTTTTATATGGACGCGTCCTATCATTCTACTTTTCATACTCTTTCTTAAACCATCTTAATTAAATTTTAAATTTTAATTGTTTCCTCTTACACCCCTCCTAAAATTCCAAAAAAGTCCCTACATCTAACTTGTATAGTTTTTTCTTTTTCTACCCATAAACCAATGAAAGTTACCATTTTTTCAACCATTTATCTTTCTTTTTTTTTTTTTTGGCTTTTCATGTGTTGTTCTTACATTTTTATTATATGACCGAATAAATTATATAAAAAATTTAATCATGTTACTTCCGTTGAAAGTATGCCAACTTTGTTTAAGTGAAAAAAGTCCTATAATATAAGATATAAAAATTATTCTCGTCAAATATTAATAAGTGATTCAAAAAGTTATGATCTCAAAATAAATTGTAATACTTTCTTATGCAAGATAATATTTTTTAAAGGACTTTCTGGTGTTTCTTTTTTTTTAGAACACCAATGTTCTCTGTTTATCAACCGTAAGACCTGTATTAAATCTGGTTAAAAGTCAAATTAAATTAAAAAAATAATACAAATCTTACAACTGACAAGCAGAAAACGCCCGTGTTTGTTTGTTTTTTTTTTTTTTTTAAAGAACACTAGAGAAATTCTCTTTTTTTTTTAAAAAAAAATGGGTGTGTAATGAGGGGTTTTTTTTTCAACATACTTTTGTATTTAAAAGTAATTTTATTAATAGCTAATTTAGGAATAAGAAATGGGTGCCTATAGAGGCACCTTTTTTTCTACCCAAAACTTACACATACGAGGCCTCGCTTCTTGCAAAAGTGGTTCAGAAAAGAGCACAATGAAAGACCTATATAAAAGAGCACAATGAAGTGGAAATTTTAATTAGTTTAAAAAAGGGAACTAAATAGTTATTTAAAATTTCCACTTCAACGAAAAGTAGCATTTTGCATAAAATGACAATTTAATACCATTTTAAGTCTTTCAAAAAAAAAATTTTTTTTCTAAACAAAAATGTACCATAAAATCAAGACCCGACCATGACACGTCTAATTTAATAATAATACTAATAATAATAATAATTAGTAACAGAAGAAGGGACTAGAGAGAATTTATTACCTTTTTTTTTTTTTGAGGATAAAATGGTGGTGGAAACAGACGCACAATTGAAATTCCATAGCACATTGCCAGAGTGCTAGAAATAGAAAAATGAAGACACCTTTTTTTTTTTTTTTAAGATCAACAGTAGAGCACAATCGTAATGAGATTATCAGCTAATTAATAATAATGCTCGACGTAGTCATATATAATACATTTTAGGATTGGAAAATTAAATGGCATTTATAATCTCATCATTTAAATAGTGGTCCCTCCCACAACGCTCTTTAGGTAATGCTTCTTCAGCTTTCTCCTCCTCTGATTGCTCGACCTGCAGTTTAACCAAAACTCACGACTGTTCAGATTATTCCTTAATTAAATACAAATTATAATTGTGTTTAAAGGTAAAGATGCAAAAATAGACCACATCACAATACCAATTCTGTCATTTTAGTTTATATCAAATTTCATATATTCTGTTACCTTAAGAAAAAAAAAAAAACAAAAAAATCGAATATTTTGTACCACCAAAACTAAAATTTGAAATTATAAATCGCAGGACCCTTAGCTTTGATTACTGAAAATTTATAGCATCAAATCACCACTGCTAAAGTGAATTTGGTAATTTCAAAGGTCATAGACTCATATAGTGTTGACTGTAAAAGGGTACAAACTTACCTATTAAATGTAATTCGATGGCATAAATATGTAGCCTTTTAAAACCAATGATTATTATTCACTTTGGTAATTTCAAAGGTCATAGACTCATATAGTGTTGACTGTAAAAGGGTACAAACTTACCTATTAAATGTAATTCGATGGCATAATGTATTTTGGGTTTACTCAAGACACAAGATACCATCCCGTGAGTTGGAATCAAAAAGTTGAGATTAGAGTTGGGATCCTTGACACTTCTCTCAAGTTAAAAACACCAACATGTATAACAACATTTTGACTACTTTGATAGTTCCTTTCTCATCTTTTATTGGCCATTTCAACCAAATATATCATGATACATTGTTGACACATCATTTGGTCCTTGTAGCACATTTCTTAATTCTGTTAGGAGTATAGGGAAATCATATCTACTTTCATATATTTGTTCAATAGCCTACCTTAGATTACACTTACCAGTACTGGTTGCGCAAAACAAAGGCATCCGTTGCTGACTTCTTACCATCATCGTTGCGGTTCCAATGGTAAAATGCATGAGTCCGGTTCTTAATCTCTAAAGTCGAGTGGCCATAACTCGCTTCTCGGAATGCAGAGTAGTCTGGTTGAGGATCCAAGAACCTAACGTACCCACAAAACTAATCATTAAACATGGCCGTTTCAGACGCAATTTCTTTTGTGTTACACCTGAAGGAGACACTTTCGACAACTTCATTTTAACTCATCAACTTTATGTATTCCCAAAACCGGAAACACGAGGAAAAGAATAAATAGAAGACGAGAGAGAAAAGGTTCTTTTACCTTCCAGCAAGACCTTCCTGATTTCCTCCATCTCCAACTGTTATGTAAACAGGAGCCGATTTGTCTGGCACAGGATAACGGTCACCACTTGTGATATTGTAGTGAATATTCGAGATTCTATACTGAAATACGAAGGAAAAAAAAGACGTGAAAATCCATTCTAGCCTAATGAAATATGTTATTATAGAATGGTGACAATAGATATTTTGTCCAATCAAGAACTATTATGTGACAATTGAGAAGAGATAGTGTGCAGAATGCTCTGCCAAGGCATGGCACATTAGCTCCATCAATAACTGACTTTTAAAAGGATCATTTTCGCACATATCCCTTATGACGAATGAATATTATGGATTTCAAATATTTACAACAGATAATCCATTACTTGGCATTTTTCTACTTTAATAATTGACTGCACTTGGCACCAGGTGGACCCCTCCTTGCCTTTTTTTTTTTCCATTTCTTTTTCTTTCCCTTAAATCAGAAAGGAACTGAATCACACAAGTGTGGAGATAAAGACTATACCGATCTTTCATAAGCATGGACGTGGCCAGCAAAGATTACGTCGACCTTGTACTGAACAAACCAACTCTCAAACACCACTCGCATGCTTTCGCCCTCCATGTAGTGCGCATCATTACTGTTATAGATCGGAACATGCATGAGAACAATCAGCCAAGGCGTCTTTTCTCGGTCGACCTTCTGCAGTTCTTCCCTCAGCCACTCCCATTGAGGCGTGTACTTCACTGTTCAAATTAAAACATGAGCGAAAATGAAAGAATAAATTAATACTGTCATAGTCCTCCATTTTCCTTTGCAAGAATAGGAACTAAAATAAAGTGATCATTTCACAATAAGGGAAAGGTATTTTGGCAGTACCAAATGGTGAATAGCTGGATAGGACGATTATATGGGCGGAAGCACGCCTGATTGCATACCAAAGAGGACTGCTGCTTTTGCACGCCAGATGGGGAGTAGCATACCGTTGAAGAAAGTTTTTGAAAGGAGTAACTTCACCCTAGGAATATTCATTGAAATGTAAGGTTAGTATTTTACAACACGGATATTCTGTGGATCTTACGACTAAATAAATGCATCAAAAAAATGTTCAATCTCAACAAGGAATTTCCAAGATTCACGCAATTTCATAACTCCACGTGTGTGGCTAGTATATTCTAAATGTATATCATCATATGAATGCAGTTACATGTCTTTCATGTACCTGGTAATGGAGATTCGTAGAAGGCATTACACTTGAAAAAAAAACAAAAAAACAAAAAAACAAAGAAACAAAAACAAAAACAAAATAAAATAAAATAAAAAAAAAAAGTTCCTAGTCTAATAGAACTCAGATTTTTTTTTTTCTTTTACTTTTCAAACCTATTTTGGCTAAACTTTAGGAACTTCTAACAGTCCTCTTTGGTGAGTATCCTTAGATATGGGCAATGCAACTTCGATTTACGATCCACAGTAGAACAAGAACATAAGGATTGTACCTCAAGCAAGAAGCACGGAAATGAATAAACCATATACTTTCGGAAAAGAAATGAATAAACCATGTGGTATATATGTATATGAATTGTCTCCAATCCGGTACTGGATTGAAGCGGCACATGTATATTTCCTTTAAAAACGTGTATATTTCCTCCTAAAATATGTATATTTCCTCTTAAAACATGTATAATGAGGGGAGACACCTATAATTTGTCTAAACACCTATATACATGTTTTAAGAGGAAAATATACATGTTTTTAAAATAAATATACATGTCCTGCTCCAATCCAGTACCAGATTGGAGACTTTACCTATATGTATATGTTCATATATATATATATATATATATATATATTTTCTTGAAATTGGGATGTGTTAGTTTACCAATCCATCTCAAAAGCTTAAGCTATTGGGAGATAGGCCAACATTAATTTTATATTTTTAAGACTTCCCCTCACGTGTGGGCTGAATAATGGGCAATCGTGTAGGTAAATTAATTGGAAAGCCCAACCCGTGAATATTTAAGCCCGAGATATATTAAAGACCTAACACATGATGACAATTTAAATGGGAATAAAGAGTGCAATTACGGGGGTTTGAACTCAAGACCTCCCGCTCTGATACTATGGAAATTTGAGAGGAAAAATTGAAGGAATTGTATATTTGCATGACAATTACAACCGGTTATATACAGGAGCCCTAGCCTTTAGAAACGGCAATCACATCCCATAATCTGTGGGATATCACACTAAAAAAGGAAACTAACCAAATCAACCTCTAATTTTAGGGAAACTAACTATTATATTCAAACTTTCCTAATTTAGTCTATACACGTGTAAAACACATTCTTCCACACTCCTCTTCAAGCTGGTGAATAGGTATTCACCATTCCCAGCTTGGATACAAAACTCTCAAACACTGAACTACTCAACCCCTTGGTGAGTATATCAGCAAGTTGGTCATGTGTAGATACATAAGGTGTACAAATTAGTCCACTATCCAACTTTTCTTTGATGAAGTGTCTGTCAATCTCGATGTGCTTCGTTCGATCATGCTGCACCGGGTTGTGAGCTATGCTGATTGCAGATTTGTTATCACAATAAAGTTTCATAGGGCCGTCTCACATAATCTTCAGATCCTCTAGAACAATTTTCAACCATAGTAGTTCACACACACCCTGAGCCATTGCTCGGTACTCTGCCTCAGCACTAGCCCGTGTTACCACATTTTGTTTCTTACTCCTCCATGTCACCAGGTTTCCACCAATGAAGGTGCAATAACCTGAAGTTGATCTTCTGTCAACAACTGACCCAGCATAGTCAACATCTGTGTATGCCTCAAGAACTAACCCTCTGATAAGTGCACGAATTTGCACTTTTAATGTTCATAATTGTCAAATTATTTTATCAAATTTGTGATTTTAATTTCAAATATTCCTAAATTTAGAGGATTTAATTTTAATTGGATTTATTTTATTTTTCAGGTTTTTGAAGAAAACAATTGGATTTGGGCTAGTTTACCAAGCAAAACCCAAAAGTTGAGCCCAAGAAAAGCCCAATTCGGCCCAAAGCCCATCAGCCCATCATCCAGCCGAGCCAAGCCGAGAGCTGCGAGCCGAGCCAAGAAGCCGCGAGCCAACCTAGCCGACACGTGTCGATCACTGCCGCACCGCAGGCCGTGGGACCCAGCTGTCCCCTCGCAAACAGGCGCCTGGCGCGCACCGCCCGCTCTCCGCGCGAGTTCTCCTCACGCGCGCGTCAGGCACGCTTCCTGTCTCTTCCGGGTGGGTCCCGCGTGCCAGCGCCCCTCCAGCCAGATCTCGCCACGTGTCCCAGTGGGGTCCAGCTGCTCCCCCGCGTACGCGCGTTTTGCGCGCACTTTCCCTCTCGGCGCGAGTTTCTCTCTCGCGCGCGTCCAGTTCTCTTCCGCGTGGTCCAGCTGTGCACCACGTCTCTCCTGCGCACGAATCAGATCTCGCCACGTGTCCCACTCTTCAGAAACATGATGTTTTTCTCCCCCGATTAAGCATCCGATTTTTATCTTTTTAGCATATTCAAACTTTATAAATAGAATCATTATCAAGGTGATTAGGGGAAAAATTTTTAGAGAGCCTAAATTCTCACATATTTTCTCTTATTTTCTTGTTCTTATTCTCATACTTTCTTTTTAGAATTTTATGGGAATTATGTGCAAGTTAGGCTAGAGTATTTAGGTGAGGCTAGAGATGATCCTATATGTGTAGTGAACTTATTTGGATTTTTGATTCTCCAATGGTTTGTAAGTTTTATACATTTGAGTAAATAATTTTCTTTTATCATATTTCTTCCTCTTATCAATATATTTTATTGTCAACTTTCATATAAATCTAGTCAAGCTCTTTTTATGTGATTATTGCATTATATTATATATTGATAGGTATTGTTTTATGAGTAGTCTTTTACTGCA